GTGAAAATTTCACTTTTTGCAGATGACATGATACTCAATGTAGAAAACCAAAAAGACTCCAGAAAAAAAAAAAAAAATCCTTGAATTTGGACAGCAGTTCAGCAAATTGGCAGTATATAAACCCAATGCACAAAATTCAGTTACATTTCTAAACACTAAAAATGAAACAAAAGAAAGAGAAATCAAGGAATCAATCCCATATACAATTCCACCCTCCCCCACCACAAAAAAAAAAAAAACTAAAAATAAAGCTAACCATAGAGGTAAAGGATCTATACTCTAGAAACTACAGAACACTTAAGAAATTGAGGAAGACAAAAAGAAATGGAAAAACTTCCATGTTCATGGATTGGAGGAAGAAATATTCTTTAAATGTTTATGTTACCCAAAATCTACATATTTAATTCAGTCCCTATCAAAAAAAAAAAAAAACATTGACAGAAGAATGGATAAGGAAGATGTGGTCCATATATACAATGGAGTATTATGCTTCCATCAGAAAGGATGAATACCCAACTTTTGTAGCAACATGGACGGGACTGGAAGAGATTATGCTGAGTGAAATAAGTCAAACAGAGAAAGTCAATTATCATACAGTTTCTCTGAATTGTGGAGCACAAAGAAAAACATGCTGGACATTAGGAGAAGGGAAGGAAAAGTGAATTGGGGCAAATCGGAGGAAGAGATGAACCATGAGACACAGTGGACTCTGAGAAACAATATGAGTGTTTTGGAGGGAAGATGGATGGGGTGATAGGTGATCCTGGTGTTGGGTATTAAGGAGGGCATGTACTGCATGGAGCACTGGGTGTTGTACATAAACAATGAATCTTGGAACACTACATCAAAAACTAATGATGTATTTTATGGTGACTAACATAACACAATTCAGAAAAGACTTTATGGGGGTTCCTGGGTGGCTAAGCGGGTTAAATTCTCTGCCTTCAGCTCAGTTCATGCTCCCAGGGTCCTGGGATCGAGCCCCATATCAGGCTCTCTGTTTGGTGGGGAGCCTGTTTCCTCCTCTCTCTCTGCCTGCCTCTCTGCCTACTTGTGATCTCTGTCTGTCAAATAAATAAATAAAATCTTTAAAAAAAAAAAGGACAGATACCACCTCACACCAGTTAGAATGGCCAAAATTAGCAAGACAGGAAACAACATGTGTTGGAGGGGATGTGGAGAAAGGGGATCCCTCTTCCACTATTGGTGGGAATGCGAGTTGGTGCAGTCACTTTGGATAAAATTGTGGAGATTCCTCAAGAAATTAAAAATAGAGCTTCCCTATGACCCTGCCATTGCACTACTGGGTGTTTACCCCAAAGATACAGATGGAGTGAAAAGAAGGGCCATCTGTACCCCAATGTTTATAGCAGCAATGGCCATGGTCACCAAACTGTGGAAAGAACAGAGATGCCCTTCAATGGACAAATGGATAAGGAAGATGTGGTCCATATACACTATGGAGTATGATGCCTCCATCAGAAAGGATGAATACCCAACTTTTGTAGCAACATGGATGGGACTGGAAGAGATTATGCTGAGTGAAATAAGTCAAGCAGAGAGAGTCAATTATCATATGGTTTCACTTATTTGTGGAGCATAACAAATAGCATGGAGGACAAGGGGAGATGGAGAGGAGAAGTGAGTTGAGGGAAATTGGAAGGGGAGGTGAACCATGAGAGACTATGGACTCTGAAAAACAGTCTGAGGGTTTTGAAGGGGACAGGGGTGGGAGGTTGGGGGAAGCAGGTGGTGGGTATTAGAGAGGGCACAGATTGCATGGAGCACTGTGTGTGGTGCAAAAACAATGAATACTGTTATGCTGAAAAGAAATAAAACAAACAAACAAACAACAACAACAACAAAAAAAAAAACAGAAAAAAAAAAAAAGACTTTATGGGTAAGGGGCAAGATGGTGGAGAGTAGGAGGAGACAATGTTTCAACTGGTGCCCTAAAGTGAGCTGAATATCTTTCTGAACACTCTGAACACCAATTAAATCAGCCTGAGACGTAAGAGATACACTTCCGGATCTCTATGGGTGCAGATAACATCAGTGAAGAGGTCAAGCAGAGTGGTAGGACTCAGACTAATATCGGAGGATAAGCAGAAGGGGGAGGGAGCCACCAGGAGTGACTCATTGAAAAGTAATACCCCATTACATTAGTGCCCTGTGGTTGTGTACAAGCATTAATTTGGAGTCTGGTTAAAAGCACTCAAAAAGAGCAAAAACCTTAAGGGGAAACTAATGGAATCAAGCAGTCATGAGCATGGGCCTAAGTCCTTCCACCCACAGGCATCTGGGGCCTGCACCTCCTCTGGGTGTGAGCACAGTCAGTGTGGGCCAGGACCTCAGATGGCAGTCCAAGGAATGGCCGTCACCCAGGTTAGGGCTTGCTAGGACCAATATAGTTCACGGTTTTAGTGGCATTTGATGGAATGAGCACTCGGTGTTATGTTCAACTGATGAATCACTAAATTCTACCTCTGAAAGGAATAATGCACTGTGTGTAAATTGAAATGAATTTAAATAAAAAAATTTAAAACATAAAATAAGAAAGTAGGGTGGTTTGGTTATGGACTTTGGGGAGGGTATGTGCTATGGTGAGTGCTGTGAAGTTTGTAAGTATGACGATTCACAGACCATTAATCCTGGGGCTAATAATATATTATGTGTTAATAAAAATTAAATAAAAAAGAAATCATTAGCAAGACAGGAAACAAAATGTGTTGGATGGGATGTGGAGAAAGGGAACCCTCTTACACTGTTGGTGGGAATGCAAGTTGGTGCAGCCTCTTTGGAGAACAGTGTGGAGATTCCTCAAGAAGTTAAAAATAGAACTTCCCTATGACCCTGCCATTGCACTACTGGGTATTTTCCCCAAAGATACAGATGTAGTGAAAAGAAGGGCCATCTGTACCCCAATGTTTAGAGCAGCAATGGCCACGGTCGCCAAACTGTGGAAAGAACCAAGATGCCCTTCAACGGACGAATGGATAAGGAAGATGTGGTCCATATACACTATGGAGTATGATGCCTCCATCAGAAAGGATGAATACCCAACTTTTGTAGCAACATGGACGGGACTGCAAGAGATTATGCTGAGTGCAATAAGTCAAGCAGAGAGAGTCAATTATCATATGGTTTCACTTATTTGTGGAGCATAACAAATAGCATGGAGGACATGGGGAGTTAGGAGAAGGGAGTTGGGGGAAATTGGAAGGGGAGATGAACAATGAGAGACTATGGACTCTGAAAAACAATCTGAAGGGTTTGAAGAGGTGGGGGGTGGGAGGTTGGGGGAACCAAGTGGTGGGTATTAGAGAGAGCACAGATTGCATGGAGCACTGGGTGTGGTACAAAAACAATGAATACTGTTATGTTGAAAATAAATTTAAAAAAACGATTAAAAAAAGTATTGAGAAGACAAAAAAAAAAAAAAGAAATCAGTCTGATCTAGTGTGTCATTCAAAGTCCTTGTTTTGAAAAATGCCACTGGAATTTTGATAGGGATTGCACTGAAAGTATAGATTGTTCCGGGCAGTATAGATATTTTAACAATGTTTATTCTTCCAATCCGTGAGCATGAAATGCTTTTTCATATTTTTGTTCTGGAACAAACAATCCTAAAACTTATATGGAGCCAGAAAACACCCTGAATTGCTAAGGAAATGTTGAAAAAGAAAAACAAAACTGGGAGCATCACATTACCTGATTTCAAGCTTTACTACAAAGCTGTGATCACCAAGACAGCATGGTAGTGGCACAAGAACAGACACATAGACCAGTGGAACAGAGTAGAGAGCCCAGATATGGACCCTCAACTCAATGGTCGAATAATCAAACAAAGCAGCAAAAAGTGTACAGTGCAAACAAACAAACAAAAAAACAAACTAATGATGTACTGCATGGTGACTAACAGAAGAAAATAATTTTACAAATGCTATAATAGAAAAAAAGAAAAAAAATTGTCTTCACACATTAGAATACTGCTGAATGAAGTAAGTCAAGCAGAGAAAGTCAATTATCATATGGTTTTGTTTATTTGTGGAGCATAAGGAATAACAGAGGACATGGGGAGATGGATAGCAGAAGGGAGTTGGGGGAAATTGGAGGGGGAGACTAATCACGAGAGACTGTGGACTCGGAGGAAGTAATGAGGGTTTTTGAAGGAAGAAAGGTAGGAGGTTGGGTCAGCCTGGTGGTGGGCATTATGGAGGAAACGTATTGCATGGAGCACTGGGTGTGATGCATAAACAATGAATTCTGGTACAGTTAAAAGAAATTTAAATAAATAAATATTTTTTTTTAAAAGAAAGAAAGAAAGCAAACAGGCAACTAAGCCACCTGGAGTCACCACACTCCAATTACAAGCTAGATTACAAAGCTGTTGTTATCAAAACAGTATGGTACTGGCTTTAAAACAGACACACAGGACAATGCAACACAACAGAGCTTGGAAACTGATAATCCTAGCACTTTTGCAAAGTTTATTCTTTCATATATTAAAGGTATATTTAACTTGGCTCTGATAGAATTATTAACTCTGAGTGGGAATTTATAGTACTGATGTCCTGCTCCAACATTTCCTACCAAGAAATGAATTTTTTAAAAGATTTTATTTATTTGACAGACAGGAATAACAAGTAAGCAGAGAGGTAGGCAGGGTGGGGGGAAGCAGGCTCTTAGCAGAGCAGAAAGTCTGGTGGGGGGATCGATCTCAGGACCCCAGGATCATGACCTGAGTCACAGGCAGAGTCTTTAACCCACTGAGACATTAAGGAATCCAATAAATGCATTTTTAAACAAACAAACAAAAAAAGAATACTACATATTGTCAAAGTGCCATCTAAAAAAGTGATCTACAAACAATGCAATCTTTGTTTTTAACTTGTAAAGAATTGAATCTATGTCTGGATCTAACTATATACTCAGAGGACATGCAAATAGGGTCTTCCCTCCACTGAATAAAACAGCCCAGACCATGCAGCTGAGAGAGGAGCCCCAGTCCTGGGATTTCCAGGTGTCCACATTCACTGAGCAGGACAGGACACAGTGAACTCACCATGGAGTTTGTGCTGGGCTGGGTTTTCCTTGTTGCTCTTTTAAAAGGTAATTTATTGAGAACAAGAGACATTGAGTATGTGAGTGGATATGAGTAATAGAAACCATGGATATGTGACAGTTTTCTGACTAGGATGTCTTGTGTCTGCAGGTGTCCAGTCTGAGGTGCAGCTGGTGGAGTCTGGGGGAGACCTGGTGAAGCCTGGGGGGTCTCTGAGACTCTCCTGTGAAACCTCTGGATTCACCATCAGTAATAATGAAATGAACTGGGTCCGCCAGGCTCCAGAGAAGGAGCTGCAGTGGGTCGCATATATTAACAGTGTTGGAAGCACATACTATGCAGATTCTGTGAAGGGATGATTCACCATCTCCAGAGACAAAAGCAAGAACACGCTGTATCTGCAGATGAGCAGCCTGAGAGCCGAGGACACGGCCGTGTATTACTGTGCGAGAGACACAGTGAGGGGACTGTAGTGTGAGCCCAGACACAAACCTCAAACAACAAGGGTATCAGACCAGCAGAGGGTGCACACTCCTCACCAATTCTGTCTTTAATCCCAGGAGCAGGTGCAGATGGAGTCTATGACATATTTCCTGTCCGGGTCTGGGGTTTCCTCTCCATAGGGCAGTTTCCCCAAGGGAGCCTCCTTGACATTATTCTGTGCTTACCTATTCACTCTCTAACTTAGAAACTTAGGTGTAACAAGAGGTAATATATATTAACATGCAAAAAAAAAAAAAAGGAGTCAGTTACATTAGTTTCCTCTTATCCTTAAATACTAATAAATTACAAATATCTCAATGCAGGTAAACGAAACCTTTATAAGAATCTCAGTGGCACTCACTGTGGATCACAAGAACCTCCAGCGGAGCCAGAAGATCACATACACACACACGCGCATGCATGCACACACACGCGCATGCATGCACGCACACACACACACACACACACACACACACACACACACGGGTATAAAACCTCCACTGAAAAAATAAAATTAAACTTAAGAAAAGAGTAGAAAACCTCTATCACCATCCTGTCATTTCTCTGCAGCAAACGTGGCCCTAAGACAAAAATACACCCCATACAGGAGCACCTCAAGAAGCAAGTAGAATCTCAAATAAACAAGTTAACATTACACCTAAGATGCTAGAGAATGAGCAATAAGTGAATCCTAAGTATAGAAGATGGAAGGAAATATCAAGATTACAGCAGAAGGAGATTGTATAGAAACTAAGAAACACAAAATGGATCAAAGAAACCGGGTCTGATATTTTTTTTAAATTAAATAGCCAAGGTATAGTACATCATTGTTTGGTGATGTAATATTCACTGCTCCATCTGTTCAGTATAAAACCCTGTGCTCATCACTTCCCATAAACTTTGGGGGAAAAAACACAATACACCTGAGAATCCTCTACTTAAATTGATCAAAATAAAAGAGAAAGTGCCCCCCAAAAATAATAAAGAAATCTATCTGGTCCAGTGTTTCATTCAAAGCCCTTATTTCCTTGGTGCATAAACAATGAATTCTGGAACACTAAAATGAAATTTTAAAAACCTGGAAAAAAAAGTCTATGTTCTTTTTTAATGTTCAAATAGCCAACATATATTACGCCATTAGTTTTTGATGTAGTGTTCAAAGATACATTAGTGCTCATCACATCACCTGACCTCTTTAATACTCACCACCTGGCTACCCCATCCCCCACCACCCTCCCTTTTGTAATCCTTGTTTCCCAGAATCCAGAATCTCTCATGGTTTTTCTCCCTCTCTGATTTCTTTTTTTTTTTAATTTTATTTTATTTTTCAGTGTTCCAAGATTCACTGTTTATGCAGCACATCCAGTGCTCCATGCAATATGTGTCTTCCTTGATACCCACTACCAGGCTCACCCTCCCTCCACCTCCCTCCACTCCCAAACTTTCAGTTTGTTTCTCATAGTCCACAGTCTTTCATGTTTCATATCCCCCTCCAATTTCCCCCAATTCACTTTTCTTTTCCCTCTCCTAATGCCCTATGTCATTCCTTATGCTCCACAAGTAAGTAAAATGGTATGATAATTGAATTTCTCTGTGGTCCTCCTCACTACTCCTTACATTACACATAGAAGTGAAACCATAGGATAAATATCTTTCTCTGCTTGACTTATTCTACATGACATAACACCCTCCGGTTCCATCCAAGTCAATGAAATGGTAGGTATTCATCCTTTCTGATGGCTGAGTAATATTCCATTGTATATATGGACCACATCTTCTTTATCCATTCATATGTGGAAGGACACCTCAGCTCCTTCCACAGTTTCGCTATAGTGAAATTAATCCTATGAATATTGGGGTTCATGTGCCCCCTTTTTAACTGCATCTGTATCTTTGGGGTAAATACCCAATAATGCAATTGCTGAGTCATAGGGCAGTACTATTTTAAGCTTTTTGAGGAACCTAGAAACTGTTTTCCAAAGTGGTTGTATGACCTTGCATTCCCACCAACAGCGTAAGAGAGTTCCCCTTTCTCCAAATCTTCTCCAACATTTGTTGTTCCCTGTATTATTAACTTCAGCCTTTCTAACTCGTGTAAGTTAACATCTCATGTGGTTTTGATTTACATTTCCATGGTGACAAGAGATGTGGAGCATTTTTTCATGTGTCTGTTGGCCATTTGTATGTATCTCTGGAGAAGTGTCTACTCATGCCTTCTGCCCATTTCTTGACGGGATTATTTGTTTTTTGGGTGTTGAGTCTGGTAAGTTCTTTATTGATCTAGGATATCAACCCCTTGTCTGTAGTATCATTTGCAAATATCTTCTCCAATTCCATATGTTACCTTTTAGTTTGGTTGACTGTTCATTCTGCATTGCAGAAGATTTTTATCTTGGTGTAGTCCCAAAAGTTCCTTTTTGGTTGTTTCCCTTGCTTTTAGAGACCCATCTTGCAAGAGGTTGCTACAGTTGAGGATCTAAGAGGTTACTATCTGTGTTCTCCTCTCATATTTTGATGCAAGGCTTTTCTAAATGGGTCTTTGAACATGTCCTAGTATCCAGCCAGAGTTGTCATTGACAATGTCCACATCATAGACACCTGTGACCTCCACATGCCAGGTGTTTTGTTCCTGGCGATGAGAAAACCATAGGAACCACCTGCACCCACATAAATATAAACACTTCTGTTTTTTTCCTTCCCTATGGGAAGTGAAGTCAGCTGGTCTCCATCCAGGTCCACACACACCCTGCAGCCAGGGTGGACACTGACATCAGTCTGTGGAGATTAAAGGCCCAGAGAACATCCGTGAGTTTGAGACACGCATGGACCTGGATGCTGTGGGTTGTCTCTTCCCCTCTGCAGCCCCAGAGCTGTTCAGTCCCCTCTTCCAGACCCTAACACAGCATCCAGATGTGTCCTTATAACTGGATCCGCCAACTTCTCATGGTCTTCAATGCCTCTATCAGGCAGGTAGTGTATTTATTATGTAATTCACATTAACAAGCTACAGGGGAGCCAGGAGACAAGATCCTGAATCCATAGCTCTGTTCATGAAGATACTGAGAGAAGGGCCTTCACAGAGCTCTGATCTAAATCACTGAGTGCAGTGATGAGGACACAGGTTAAAGGGGTTGACCTGCCCCTGTCACACAGGTGTGAAGTGTAATTGCGGGACCAGAGAAGGCATTACTTGTGTAAATGTGTCATGGAGTGATGATGGTTCACCCAGGATGCTCCCAGGGAGGTGACACTGATTGGAGCGATGACAAAATCTGACAACTCTGCCATCCTATTCTGTCCTTTACACATGAACATATCTGGTAGTGAAGGTGTTTGGGGGGAGTTAAATTCACTCATGATGTATGGAGAAGCTCTGAATTACCAAATACAATGGAGTGACCCAGCTTTGACAAATTTCCACATGATTTGTACATGAAGCTGCTGTTGCCAAACTTGCACATCCAGGAATTGAACCACAAGAGAAGAGAGGGGCGGGTGGAACAGAGAGGTTCCCTAACAGTATGGAGCTCCTGGAATTATGGTGGGGTTTTATGAATGTCTACCATAAAAGAGCACTTGGTATTATATTATTATATTTTATGCTTCCTGTAGATGATCACACCCTCTCTTTGCGAGGCCTATGCTGTGGAATGTGTGACTCTCTTCCTGGCTCCACTGGTAAATGGGCTGCCTGGGTAGCAGCAGTGAAATGTGTCTCTGCTGTAGCCACACAAGAGTTCAGATTCCTCCAGAGATCTCCTGTTTTTGTTCCCTTGTCAGCACCGTGATCACCTTGAGCTCCCTCATGTAAAATCTACTTCCACTCTCCAGTACTCACCTGCTACTCAGGTGACAGTCGTTAATGTGGTGGAAGGCTTCAGACTACAAGAACACTGACTTGATGATCTAGCCTTAGCCTCAGGTCCTCCCAGGAACCTGGGTCGGTGGAGGCCTGCATGTGTCACTGCCCCTCCTCCACCAGTGGTCCAAGTCCATGTATTCTTGCCTGTCTCTAGGTACACAGTCATTCTGTTCCTCCCGGTTGTCCCCTCCCACAGCTCCAGTGGTCCCTGGGTGTCCCAATCTTCTTGTTTCCCTACTTTCCCCTGAAGACTAAGGCTTTAATTCCATGTGAAAAGTGTGTGTAGTCCTCAACAGAACTGAGATTGTGATGTCGGTTCCCATCCCAGATCCTATGGGGCTCCACCTGTGACCCCAGGATGCTTCTTCTGAGGGCTTCCTCTGCAGATAAATTCTTTGTTTCTGTGGTGGACACAGGATGCGTGGATCTCCATGCATTCCTGCTCTGAGTCATCTTCCATCCTGACAGGACCAGAGGGGTGAAGGGAGGATTTTTATGATTTGTCCCTATCCTACAGGATAGAAAGGCACAAGGCCAGGATTGATTTAATGATTAGGTCTTGGTGAACTTCACGCTATAACACCTTTAGTACACATGATAACAAGAAATCCATTAAATATTCTACCTAAACCTTGTGACAGTTTATTTGTCATCAGGGATCTGCATTCACAGTATGCCAAGATGCTGGTTCTTAGCCCCTGTGAGTACTTTTCACTCCCAAGAGTTTGAGTTTATTGTTTGTCTCATGACCACAATTAGAAGACATATTGACACGAATTTGTTCATCTGATGCTTATTCCATTTATTTCTTGAGCTTTTGCAACTCCAATCTGAGTAGTGATTTTATTGATATACAGAAACACTATATCAAAAACTAATGATATACTGTATGGTAACTAACTAACTAACTAACTAAATAAATACAAACATAAAATACAGATACAATCCCGATCCCAATCATCAGCTTAAAAGTGGACATATTGTGCTCTATGTCATCTTTGGAAAGCTGCCTATCATAAAAAGACATAATAAATATGGTGGTATTGCCAAATATTTGGCTCAGCAATAGAAGTCCTAGAAATAAAGGTACATTTAATACAATTACAAAATT